TATAATATATATACTGATATAAAAAAAAATTTTATGTTTTTTAAAAAAAAAATATATCAAAAACTATTTCTAAAAAATGTGGTGGTAAGATTTCCGAAACCGTTAAAAAATGCCAATTTTGATAATTTGATGCCTATCCCTTGTTTACTTGAAAATATTTGCTAACAAATGAATTTAAAAAGTACAAGCGTGTGCAACACTAATCTAGTATTGTTCAAAAAATGTTTTTAACTAGTTCGGTCATTTAGCATTTTTAGTTAAAGTATCTCTTTTCTGTCAGAAACTTCTTAATTTATCCTAAAAGAAAATAACAATTTGTAAAAAAAAAACATTTTTAAAAGTTATTTTTAAAGGGAATATAAAGGAAAAATGAAAGGGTTATAGGCTGAAACCTACGCATTTCAGGAGTTGATGTTCCTGTCTCGAGAAATTAATATAAAACTGTGTCAAATTTATAAGAAAATTTATAAATATTAAATTTTGTAAACAAATCATAGGTTTAAAAAGATCATATTCAAAAAATACGCAACCAATCTGAAAACGACGATATCCCATGAGAAGCCTGAGAACTTGCTCATGTTATTAATTGATTTTTTCATTTTTAAGATATAATTGATAATATTATTTTTACCCCCGTATCACGTGACCAGAACTCCCACTAATGGCAGCGCAGTATACTGGTCTTGTGTCTCCGTCACTGCCATTGGTGGGAGTTCAGATATATTTGTAACCTCTCAACAGTGATAACCAGAAAATTCGGGAATAGGAAGACGCCTATTAGACTTAAGCTGTGACTTTAGAAAGTCCAATGAACATGAGACACAGCAATTATGTAGTGTAAACAGACCCAGTTCACTGAATAAGTGATTTAATAAGTCACAAATAAAACTTTTTGCTTTGTATCAACATCTCATACTTTGTATCATTCCTTTAATGTTTTCTTATCTCATTACTTTATATTTTTGTAGATTTGCTTTTTTAAAGTTTTATTTTAAACTAAAATATTTTAAATGGAAAACTTTCTAAACCCCGTCTAAATTTATATTATTTGATTCTAATAAACTTTGAAACTAATCCCTTCAGACTCAATTGCTTAAAATTATGAACGATGAAATTATAATTTGTAAAAATGTTCTAATCGTGCAAAATCTAGGAAACATTTAACAAATGCATGAACTCAGAATAGAAATCCGCCAGAATCCAGTTTAAATCTCACCAATTAAACTCATTAAAGGGACTGTAGACGTAATTTCGAGTGAACATCAATTTAAGGATGGACATGTCCCATTCTTAACGGTACCCTTTCATCTTCTGTCTTTCATTTTTGTCTTGCTAAAAATTGATAATTTTCAATTGCAGTTTTCTATTTAAGTGACTTTAGCAGTTATACTTTAGAAACTTATTTGAAATTTAACATATTTTAAAATAGAAAACGATAGAAAACGATAGAAAACGAAAGAATACGATAGAAAACGAAAGAAAACGAAAGAATACGATAGAATACGATAGAAAACGATAGAATACGATAGAAAACGATAGAAAACGAAAGAATACGATAGAATACGATAGAAAAAGATAGAATACGATAGAAAACGATAGAATACGATAGAAAACGATAGAAAACGAAAGAATATCATAGAATACGATAGAATACGATAGAAAACGATAGAATATGATAGAATACGATAGAATACGATAGAAAACGATAGAAAACGATAGAATACGATAGAAAACGATAGAATACGATAGAAAACGATAGAAAACGATAGAATACGATAGAAAACGATAGAAAACGATGTGAATCGGACAAGCCACTCTTCATATGAATGGGACAAAGTCCCTTTATACCAAGATCTTTTTCAAGCGATGCAGGCACTGCATTGTTTTTTTAAATGCATCTTGAGAATGAATCTGAAATGAACATTTTCTAAAATTATTTCAGAATAAATTTGTTTAAATTTGTTCTCTTGGAAAAGAAAGGGCCTCCATGAAGTCAAGTTGTTTCTGGAATTGTTTTATAGTACTTTTTCAGTACAAGATAAACAGTACACGATACACAGTACACGATACACAGTACACGAGACCTGGTACACGATACACAGTGCACAATACACAGTACACTATACACAGTACACGATACACAGTGCACGATACACAGTACACAGTACACAATACACAATACACAGTACACAATACACAGTACACTATACACAGTACACGATACACAGCACACAATACTTGATACACAGTACACAATACATAATACACAGTGCACGATACACAGTACACAATACATGATTCACAGTATACTATACTGCAGATATACAATACACAGTGCACAATACATGATACACAGTGCATGATACACAGTATACTATACTTATACAATACACAATACACAATACATGATACACAGTATACTATACTGCAGGTATACAATACACAGTACACAATACATTTTACACAGTATTTTATACTGCAGGTATACAATACACAGTACACAGTAAACAGTACACTATTAAAAGCATGCCTTCTTGGATTTACAAGACTGTTTATTTTGTCGTTATAACTCAATTAAATCTAAATTTTTTTTCATTTTCAGCGGGAAATTAATTTTTAAACTAATTTTGGTGAAATCAAGACCTGTAGAGTTTACCTATACAAGTTATTAAGTTTGTGATATTGTTTTAATATATTATTGTTAGATAATATTCTTTTTACTTAGGATTTTTATTTTTCAGTCCTCCCCCCTCCCCTCCCCGCTCCATACAATCTGCAGTTGTTATAGTAGTCCCCTGGGCTTACACAATATATATGGAAATCCGGACAGAGCTGGGATATATAAAGGAGAGGGGGNGGTGGCAATGGGGCTTAGAGGGATTCTTTGTATACTTTGCTAAACTTAAACATTGTTATTTTTACCAGCATTCAGTTGACTGAACTTGTTTCATTCTAAATCCCTGGTTTTTATAAAAATCTAAAAGTTTAACAAACATTGAATTATTAAAGATTTTAAGTTTCATTAAATGGGGTTATACGATATCTACATCATATTAATTGCTGAATCTTAATTAATTTTATTCATTATTTCTTTTCAAAATTAGTTTAAAACCCTACGTACGTTTACAACTAAACCAACTTAATTTTAAATCCAATCATTTTTATTTTGAATCTCCATGACAGATATATAAACATATTTTCCACGTATTATGGCGAGTAATCATACGCTAGGATGGAATTTATCCTGGATAGGAGAAGGGGTTGAAGAATTCAAGTGACCCCCTGGTAAGGTTAGAAAGGAGGAATGATAAGTACACCCAAGGGTGGAAGGAGGCTGTAGGGGAAGAAGGTGAATACCCCTGGAGAAGGAGAAGGAGAAAGGGGATAAGGAAGGGGGATGGGAGGTAATAATCCTTTAAAAATGTAGGGGAAAAGAGAGGGAATACCCCCTGGATTAGGAGGTAGTAAGGAGGGGGAGGAAGAGAAGGGGAGATAACTCCCCCTTAAAATAAGGTAGGAGTGAGGTCAAATGTGAATACCCCCCGTGGAAAAAGGCATAATACAAAAGAAGGAATCCTGTCCAGATTTTAAATTTAATCGTACAAAGCAAAGGGAAACAAGCGAGCGGGAGCTAGAAACAAAAGGGAAACGAGTGGACGGGAGCTAGGAGCAAAGGGAAAAGAGTGGACGGGAGCTAGGAGCAATGGGAAAAGAGGTGACGAGATCTAGAAGCAAAGGGACAGGATGGAAGGAGCTTAGGAGCAAATGGAAACGATTGGACGGGAGCTCAGGGTAAAGGGAAAAGAGTGGACGGGAACTAGGAACAACAGGAAAAGAGTGGGCGGGAGCTAGGAGCAAATGGACAGGATGGAAGGAGCTAGGAGCAAAGGGAAACAGTGAACAGGAACTAAAAGCAAAGGGAAAAGAGGTGACGAGAGCTAGAAGCAAAGGGAAAAGAGGTAACGAGAGCTAGAAGAAAAGGGAAAAGAGGTAACGAGAGCTAGAAGCAAAGGGAAAAGGGGTGACGAGAGCTAGAAGCAAAGGGAAAAGAGGTAACGAGAGCTAGAAGCAAAGGGAAAAGAGGTACTAGAACTAGAACTAGAACTAGAACTAAAGCTATAACTAGAACTAGAACTAGAACTAGAAATAAAGCTATAACTCTAACTAGAACTAGAACTAGAACTAGAAATAAAACTAGAACTAGAACTAGAACTAGAAATAGAACTAGAACTATAATATCCTGATTTACAATGATATAAGCCTAGAAAAGGGTCTCCTGAGACCTATATCTAGATTATCTGAACCTACAAGATTACTCTCATAAACCCTTTTCTCTCAGCTCTACACAGGGACTAGGAGAGGGGGGGGGGGGAGTTACAGACAATATATATCTAAAGAATATTCGTAAATTTTCACAAAAAGATCATAAAAAGTTGATTAATTTGAAAATGTTTTTAATTTGAAGCAATTACACTCCAATGACAACTATGACCTTGTCAATTGGTTCAAACCTACTTTGCAGTGTTAATCAACCATTTTCGTATATGGTTTTGTGTTCTTTTTGAAAATAATGTATGGATGTCATCCCCTTTTAGGTCTTACAATCTTACAAATAGCGCATGGAAAAGTAAAATATCGGAAAAGTATTGGTAAATGTATTGCCCCTGGAAAGGCTTTGGAAAAATAATAAACTAGAAAATATATTAACCTTATACTGAATATCGACTGGTTGAGATGTGTGTATATGTAATGTATGTATATCCCTTGGATTATATTGAATTATCAGGATCTATTGAATAACAGTACTCCATACTTTTCAGGATATACGATGTAATCATGTAATCAATGTACACAAACGTTTACTTCAACATCATGCAGAGATTAATGCAAACAAATGTTCGAGAATTGACTCAAAATCTTACATTTAAAATAGCTTGTAGTAAATTCAAAAAGTTTCTTTTTATATTTAATTCTACAAATCTGAAAATGCGCAACTTTTCGTTAGTAAAATCCACAATTTGTTTTCAGATACTCTTTTCATATCAAAAATGAATACTGAAATGGAACAGGAGGAAAGCCGTCTTCTAGAACTTTCGAGTTCTTTAATGTAAATATATTTCTAATTTTTTTAGATAAGAAATTTAAGTAAACATAGGAAATTTTGAAAAACGTTTAGAAAGACAGTTTTTGCTAATATTACTTTTAAATTTTTACAATTTTTTTTATTGGATAGCGCTAATTTACAACGCTTGACCTCGATATCCACAGTTGTAGCATTTTAATTTGATGGATAGGTGCTTGGGTAATAGTCCCTCAACTTTTATCTATCCTTTTTGGGTTCTGATCACAGGATATTCAAGAGGAATTATTAAATTCTTTTTGATGATTTTGGGGGTGAAAATTGAATTTGACAGCCTGCACAAGTCAATTTTTTGGTACTTTTTCCCCAAAATTCATTGATATTCCCCTAAATCATTTCTTTTTTACAATTCAGAATAAAACCTTAACAAAATTTTAAATCCTGGAGGAAAAAATTATTTTCGATGTTGCTTGATCCAAGGATAAATAAAACAAAAAGTTTGACCTCAGGATAGAGAGAAGAGATGAGGATCTGAGAAAGCTGGTTCCCGAAGCGAGGAAGATCGCTAGCTCCTTGAGCAGGATCAAGGGGGCCAAGCTCATCAAAGCTTTGGTTGAAAACTATCTTTTGATCGATTCTCGTTCAGGTAAAACTATCAAACATGTTGAAATGATTTTAGAGATTAAGAGACCTGCGTAATATACAGTTTTTTCTTCAGACTTTGCTGTTGGTATTCTGGTAGATTGTATACAGTGGGCTACAGAAGAGGAGAGGACATTTCTCAGAAAATCGTTGGAGGTCTTTTTCTTAAATGTTCAATACTTTAGTACAGTTTACAGACTTAATGTTTACATTTTTTATTTGACCATGAGACAATATTTAGAGGTAAACTTGCTTAAAGTGATTGTTCACGTATCTTGATTGACTTTGAGGTAACCAGTAGAAATTTCAAAGAGAACTTAAGGTTTGACATTGATTATTTATTTTATTGAATTATCTTCGAGGATTTTTTCACATCCAGGGACAATCTAAGATTAAAATAAACAGTAAAATAAAATAAAAATAAACGAAATTGGTCATGGCTAGATTTAAGAGGGGTTGAAACTTGAACCACATATATGCGAATCAACCATATCTTGCTGTTCATTAAATCTACCCTCTGTATTAACAATGCTATCGTACAATGCATAAAATGAAGTCTGAACATGCAGCATAAATGCAATATATTGAGTAATGAAAAGATAATTTACTGTACTGTATTCTTCTGTACTGTACTGTACTGTACTACACTAAACTAGGTAAGACTGATGCTGCTGTACTATGAGAGGAAAGAGTACACAGAAGCTTTAAATCTGGGCGCAAATTTGATTATACAGCTGAAGAAAATTAATGACAGGTTATATCATTTTGATCTTAAAAGGGAATGACCGTCTATGCATGGTAGTTGAACTGAGAATGTAGTATTGTGGAGAAATTTTTTAGAATTCATTTGAGACTTATAAAACGTTTTAATGATCCATAATTACTGAGTTTGAGCGCAAAGTCGACGTTCAAAATCATCCATTTAGCTGGCTACGTTTGAGAATCGATTTTTTTAATTATTAAACAACGACGACAAAATTTGTAATAAAAATTCTACAGTAAACGAATTAGATGTTTAGGAACATATTTTTCAATTGTATTTTTTTCAATAAATCAATGATTAGAATCAATTATTTCTTTTTCATCATTATACTTAATTTCTTATTCTTTATGAATTTGTTCGCAGATTTTTCTTCAAATCTTTCAAATGTCGTCTTTTCCAGTAAATCTACAGAAAATGTTTGTGAACAAAGAGACATTACAAAAACCAATATCTGAAGAAGATAATATTTTCGATGATAATAGTTAACTTTTATTTTCTTAACCTGTTCCTAAACAACTAATTAGTTTACTGTAGAATTTTTACTACATTTTTCATCGTCTTTTTTGAATTCTTCTCAAAATCATCTCTCAAAAATGAACAATCTATGAGGATTTTAAAAATTGAATTTGTGCTCTTGTTGAACAAATATGCACCGTAAAACGTCTCATATGCAATTAGGTCTCTAATGATTCCTAAAAGATTTCTCCACAAAACTACCGGTCACTCCCTTTAGATTATATATATCAATAGATTGTACACACGTCCTTAAATCTAAACATCAACTCCACTGTACTGTTCTGCATTATACTTTTCTTTACTTTACAATGTTCATGTAATATTTTATCATTCACTTACCACGTTAAAAGCATTATTTTTGAAACTAAAATTTTGAATAAAAAGTTGGACCAGATTTAATGAAAAGCCAGAAGTGGTAAAACCACACATGGCCGCGCCGGTTCATCCAGTTCTCTAGTTTGCCGGGTCAAGCTGAAGAGTAGTAGTTGAGTTTAGTCTGTATAGATCAACTGCTTCTTCTATTCATATGATCTGGTCTTTGTTTGGTATATTTTCCTTGTGTTGTAGTGAACTCCTAGTTCGTGTTTACCTACTGGAGAGTAAATGCTACCTAGGACTGGATAACCTGGAGAAATCTAGAACAGCTCTGAACCTTGCCAAGGTTACAGCTTACTCAATATACATACCTCCTACAGAACAGGTATGCAGTGGTTCTTAAAATATCTTGGAATCTTTTAGCCAACATAGATCGTGTGAAAGTTCAACAAACATAGTTTTCACATTGTTGGATCGTTTCTCTTATACGAGTTGTTTCGATCCCATGAAAACATAAATCTTATGTTTAGATTAGAATCAAATACTGTTTTTTCTCCCTTTCCGCTTTAATATAGCAGTCACTGTATCATATTAAATTCACTATTTATTCTTGCAATGGTAGTGCAAGTAAAATTCGGTGCAATGTTGGATATATTGTACGTTGTACAATGTACAAGGCCGAGATGGTGTAAAGTTTCAATTAATCTTGAGTATGTAAACTGTACAATACACTGTGCACTGTACACTGTACAATAAGTATAAATATTAGTTAATAATCTAATCTTTACTCAGGCTGAGATAGATATGCATAGCGGTATTCTAAGCACAGTTGACTCCAAAGATTTTAAAACTGCATTCTCATACTTCTATGAAGCATTTGATATTTATGATAATCTTGGAGATATGACTGCTGAACGTGCTCTCAAGTATATGCTACTCTGTAAAATCATGCTGAAGCAGAACCAGGATATACCCAGGGTATAAACTTTATATAAATTACAATATCTAAATTAGTAATCTCTGTTTGTATTTATGTCTGATCATAACTCATAGACCCCCTAACCGATCTGCCTCAAATTTTGATTGAGGAACTTGGGAGATCCACGGAAATGTTCTTAGCTTGGTTTTAAGATTCTAAGTTCTAAAAAGGCTAAAACCGTAATTTACTACCAAGAGCGGGTAAACTTCGGTAGTGATTATGACTACCCTGGGCAACGCTGGGTTCTCAAGCTAGTATTAATATATTCAATCGGTTAATTTATATAATGGTTTTAATTGAATAAATATACTTCTAGTTGATGTCAGGAGAGGTTGAGTTGAACTACAATGGACCTGAAACTGCTTGTATGATAGATATATCTAAAGCTATAACCTCTAGTTCTCTAAACCAGTTTATGAAAACTGTATCCGAGTACTCTGAAGTACTGGAGCAGGATCCAGTAGTTCTCCTCCACTTGGAGAAACTGCAGGAGAACATGATGGAGCAGAACCTTATCAAGATACTCAAACCCTACTCCCGGGTTCAAGTTCAGTATGTTGCAGATAAAATAGATCTTCCAGTTCTCCAGGTATAGTTCTATATACAGCTGTACTAAACAATATACATGGATACAAGTAACCTCTAGCCATTATTCAAGACTGCAAGACACAACTTTAAACTAAAATGAAAATTTTGAAGTTATTTCATATAAAAAAAACTACGGATAGTTAAAGCTTATCACGAAGACCATTATATGTACTCAATGAACCACATAAATGCTGCTGGGGTAGTTTATTGAGTACATCCGCAGTCTCTGATGCCTGCAGGGATAATTCATAATTAAAATGGGCTTTTAACTATTCGTTTTTCATTTCTCTTTGGGCTAAATTTAGAACTCCAAACTTAATTATTCATCAGGAAATCTAAATAAGTAGTTAGTTGAAGACAAATAAACAAATAGTAATGATTTTATATTCTATAGTCTAAATATATACATAAGAAGGTAATAGAACAATATAAATGCAAAGGATCCTAATCAGAATAGTAATCTTGTATAATGTATACAGTACTCTTTTCTTTACACTTCTTTCTCCCCTTCATCTCTGACCCTTAAGACTTGTAAAACTTGTTCCGATAATTCAAGAACATACCCCCCCTAGTCAGAGTTTCTAGACTATATAATACATACTTTTACAAGGGTGTCGTATAGACCAGATCTTATTTACAGAGAGGTACAACCTTTTCTACACTTAAAAACCTCTTTATTTTTTTAAACAGAATTATTCAGTGTATTCACTGCTACCCTTCCAAGGAGGTTTGCCAGGTCGTCATCTCTAGCTTGCTTCTATACTCCGGACTCTCAGGACGCAGAGAAACGAAGTATGAAGGGGATGAGGGGAAGAGAGGAACGCCCATTCTAACCTCTACCAGCGATTCTAAATGATAGAATAAATATAATTTTGTTTGTTTCTCGTTGGAGGGTAATGGTTTTTGAATGGACCTGTATTTACTATCGAACTCAGCGCTATAAAACTTATAATATTGAATAGAAATATAAACGTTTAAATATGTTTTCATGAGAGAGAACGGGCTCTGGATTCTATAATCCAAGGTTCTAATGCAAATAAAAGTTAATTGTGGTCGCGTATACTCTGCGTACATATTGAAACCAGTTCTCTCTGGGCGGAATTTGTAAAAAAGAATAGATTCATCAGTGTTCGTCTAGTATTCGAGGAGGAGAAAAGCATTTAATTTTGATTATTTTGAAAATTCACATAATAGTTTCCTATGACCAGAATATTTCATAGATTATTTTTTTTAAATTGATTCCATGTCAGGCTGTGACATTTGTCTTGTGTTTACTTTTCCGCCCAAAGACAGTACACTGCAGTACAAAAAATGCGTACACCTCTGAAATAACTTTCCTTGCATTAGTACGTTGCTATAATTCATCCTTCTCCAGGGTCCCTGCGGTACGGTAAGGAGCGGGGGGGGGAGAATATATACACATTATGTTCAATTTCTTCTGTAATGTACAGCTCTTACAACAAAGGGGGGGATTGTAAATAATAAATGAAGAAATGAAAATATATCTGATAGAATCTAGTCTGTACTGTGTATACTGTGTATACTCTACTCTATATATCTGAATAAGATACTACTACTACTAGACAGTATACTAGTATTCCTCTGTGTACGTAAATACGTAAATATGTAAATATAAAAACTACATATTTACTCTGAAAATATTTGTGAGTAATAAATAATAAACTGAATAATATATTTGACGTGTTCACACCATAAACTATCCTGAGGGTTCTTTATAATAATATTCTTGCTTTATAAATACCAAACATAGCTATAGTCAACTCAATTTTACGTATTTTCTAGGCTTTTAATGCTTAAATCACAAACTTATATTAGGAACAATGTATTTCTATTTAATAAAGCTCTTCGTTCATATATATTTATATTTATTATATAGCATATATCTTCTGTATAATAAAGCTCTTCGCTCATTTATATGTTCGCTATAGCTGGCCAAACTTTTTTAAGAGAACCTTCCCCGTGGGGTGACATTAACCATTTACTTCCACGGGAAACGCCGAGCACTCCAATTGTATAATTATACTATAAGATCATTTCCTAAACTGCTATTGAAATATTTGTGAAATATAGAATACAGAAATCCCTCCAATTAAGACCATTTTGTTGTAAATATTATTATTGCAGGTTGAGAGAAGGTTGAGTAAGATGATCTTGGATAAGAAACTGTCCGGAATCCTTGATCAAGAGAACGGAGTAATCATCCTGTTCTCCAGGTCTACCTGGAGTAGGACGGATACACTCTGGGAGCTAGGGAACCAGATACTGGAGCAGTTGCATCCTATACTTAACAAGCAGACTCATATTCTTAATAATATCTAGATACAATATATACCTTGTAGAATATATTAGAAATAAATCAGAATATATGCGTAGATAGTTTCTGCCTGCAAGTATATTTATGTGAATAGTAATTCCTTGTTTTCTCGTATTTTTCCTCTAAGAAAACATACTTGAATGGTCGTCTATCTTTTTTTCAGGTTTGACATTTCGGTAAGAATTTTATGATTTGTAGCACTGAATTCTCTTTTTCATATTCTTTCATCCTTTTTATATCGGTATATATTGTTTAGTTTTCAGTGTATAAACGTATATATTGTTTAGTTTTCAGTATATAAACGTATATATTGTTTAGTTTTCAGTGTATAAACATATATATTGTTTAGTTTTCAGTGTATAAACGTATATATTGTTTAATTTTCAGTATATAAACGTATATTTTGTTTAGTTTTCAGTATATAAACGTATATATTGTTTAGTTTTCAGACTCCCCCAGTAAACATGGAGAGAGGTAAACATAGATTGGAAAAGCTTAGGAAAAGAAAGAAATATTTTAGAAAAGATTGTAAAGTTTCTAACTCCTAGTATAGTTGGAGATGATTTATATATGTTATGGTATGCAGTTACTGGTTAGGCTAGAAGAGTCCATTCAAGGAAGTTAGATCTCTCTTAATCCTTACACTTTGAAAGAAATTATTTCAAACGGTTTTTAAATTAAAATTCTTGTTTAGAAACCTTTGTATGTATGATTAAGAATGAATGAGGTATCCGTGTTTTCAACTTTAAAATTGAGCAGCAGGTTTCTACTTCAGAAACAATAAATGAAATAAAAAAACGACAATATCTTCAATAATAATGATCAGATGAATGTTTTAAGGGTACCACTGTGAATGGGGAATGCCTCATTTCAATGGAGGGTCACTTGATATAACAACAATCACTTAAAGTTAACGTTTTCTGAATCTGATCTAAATGAATCTGAAACGTTTTGGAAGAATTTAAAACGGTTTGGTTGAGTTTTATAGTAGGTTGGATGATGTTAGGAGAGTCTAGGAAAATTTTGAGTGAGTTTAAGAAGGTTTGGAAGATATTAGTAAGGTTCGAGAGAGTTTAAAATCGGTTAAAAGAATTAGGAATGGTTTGAGAAAATAAGTTAAGACGGTCTGCCACAGTTTAAGATGGTATGACATAGATTTAGATGGGTCCGGAGAGAAAGGAATGGTTTGAGAAAATAAGTTAAGACGGTCTGCCAGAGTTTAAGATGATTTGAGTGATTTTAAGATGGTTAGGGAAAGTTTAGAAGGGCTCGAGAGATATATTTAGATTGTTTGAAAGAGTTTAAGATGGATTAAGAGAATTTTAGATGGTTTGAGAGAGAGTTAAAAAAGGTTCGAGAGAGTTTTAAATGGATAGGGAGAGGTTATAAATGCTCAAAAGGGGTATTAAACGGTTCGAGAGAGCTTAAGATGGTTTGAGAGAGGTTAGGATGGGCTGACAGCGTTTAAAATAGATTGAGAGAGTTTAAGATGGGTCGGTAGAATTAAGGATAGTTTGAGAGAGTGTTTAAGATAAATCAGGAAACTTCAGAAAGGTGTGAGAGAGTTTAGAAAGATTTAAGAGAGTTTAAGTATAGTTTAGGAGAGTTACAGGTGCTTTTGGATAGACAGGGAGAGTTTTTATTGGTTTAAAAGAAATTTTGATGATTCGGAGAGTTTTTTTTGATGATTTTGCAAATTTTATTATTTCGGAGTTAAAGGTTAGTGTCATAGTGATCAAATCTAAACCCTTCAAAACCCTCCCCACCTGCCTTGTGAGCCAACCGATAAACATGTATTGAATATATATAATATACGACTCCTCGACCAAATATCAACCGATAAACATGTATTGAATATATATAATATCCGACTCCTCGACCAAATATCAACCGATAAACATGTATTGAATATATATAATATACGACTCCTCGACCAAATATCAACCGATAAACATGTATTGAATATATATAATATACGACTCCTCGACCAAATATCAACCGATAAACATGTATTGAATATATATAATATACGACTCCTCGACCAAATATCAACCGATAAACATGTATTGAATATATATAATATACGACTCCTCGACCAAATATCAACCGATAAACATGTATTGAATATATATAATATACGACTCACACATTTATGTCATTTCATTCCTCTCCACCCCTTTCCTCAATATCAATTATGTCAAGTATACCCCATCATTGTGCCCCTATCCCTCAAACTTTTTATAAACCCAAAGTTTGGAATGCATTAAGGGTTTTAGATATCTCCTCTTAAGCCCTCCCCTATGCTCCCCTCCCATCCACCCTTCACACAAAAAAAGAAAGAATCTCAAAAAAGAATTTCAATATAAACCGTTTTTAGGGTTGTTTTTGTAACTTTATGGTAAGATAAACATATTTAAACGGATAAAAACCTGGTATCCTTTAATGCTTAGATGTGTAAAATAAACCAGTTGGGAACCATTTGTCTATATTATTAGGGGCGTATGTATTTAATCTGTAAACCTAGACAGTCCATGTATTGTATAATATACAATGTATATACATGTATATGATGTCGTAAGAGGAGGGCTGTCTGAGCCACATACTGATTATTTTCTCGTCTGAGCCACCTCTTATATGTTGTATATGATTTGAAATAGAGCTTTTTATAACCATAGAACTTTATACTTTTTAACAAGAATATTGCAAGGATGAGTTTTTAAAGGTGTCTCGGTTGAGTAAATATGTCCCTCACACGAAGAATTTTTGTGGCTGGCCTTCCAGTCCTCGTGAGAGAAATTGTTAAATTGTGTAGTGTTGAGAGTTTAGTCTAAATACTGAATGATTTGTTGCTCTTTTACCAAAGTATAAAATACACTCACAGGCAAAATTTAAAAACAAGGATATCAGTTTAAAGGAAATTAGATAAGGGGAGACTAGGACAGAGCTAATAAAGGGCAGCAAGATAGGGGGTAAAATGTATAGATAGGGTCAGAGATCCACCCCCAGGGGGGGGGGGTAGTTTTTATCTTCTCAAAACTAAGTCCTTTTTATATACACCATTGTAATTGTTTCGCTTTTTCAATGCATATTAACGCCAAGAGTGGACTGAAAAATGTACACAGAATCCTACCGTAAACCAAAATAAAATGAAGGTTGTAAGATCTGGGGGGGGGGGCATATACATCAGATGATTTGAAATTTCAATTACTATAGCCTGAAATATATTTTTATATATTTGTGTAGAAAATAATGGAATTTTGTAAAATATCCAAACCTAGTTTACTTCTTTTGTACTTTCTCACATTTTGTGATTAATTTAAAAGTTTAAAACATTTATATAAAAAGAGTAAAATGTGTTATAAACCCATGAATAACCCTGATTTTGGTAAAGAAATAGCATATTAAAATTGGTGCAGATTATATGTTTCGTTGTGTATATTTTGTTTTTAATGATGCCTGGATAATTAGCTTCTGAACGTGTACATATGTAATTAGCTACTTTATCCTGTAGACCTTCTGAATACATTAACGAGAAGGGGAGGGGGGGGGGGGCTAACCAACCCATTACAGCAATCTATTCACTAATTTAACAGCTCTGTAATCACCTTCAACGCTCAACGTGGATTCGATAATAAATCCTTAATCCTCTCTTCCTATTGGACGACACAAATGAATATCTGCACTTTCATTGGCTAATTAAATTCCTGGCTTCCTATTGGTAAAATGAATGAGAAGTCCACGTGGATAGTGTTTAGTTTAGTGTGTCTGAGGGTGTATTGATAACATGAAGCTTTTATTTGAATAATGTGTGTGTAGTGTTTCTCATGTTTACTCTCAACTTATCATTCACTAATCAACCCCAGGCTTTCATATCTTTATTTCAAATATTTATATTTTATTATGTCGATATTTTATATGTAATAATAATAATTTATTTGCTATTTTTAAAAAGTCAATTACTTTTTAAGATTTGGTACAGTGATAACCAGAAAACTCTGGAATAGGAAGTCGACTTTATGACTCAAGTTATGACTTTAAATAATCCAATTAACATAAGACACAGCAATTGTGCAGTGTAAACAGACTCATTTCACTTAATGATTGATTTAATAACTTACTGACAAAGCTATTTGCTTTGTATACAATGTCAAATGCACTTTAGTAAATTGCTTTGATGTCGTCTGCCTATTCTACAGTTTTCTGGTTATCACTAGGGTTTTTCGTTTTAAGGAGTCATAGCATTAAAAAACATTTGCAGACATATAACAAATATGCAATAATTGAAATATCTAAAGATTGTTTTATAAAAAATAATCAAACTGAATGCATGGAATGAAAGAAAACATTTACTTGTATTATATCGGAATTATCCTTTTATTAGATATTCAATGATTTTCGGTAGACTAACACAGAGTGCACATAGCTCTACCTGGACAGGCTATGCAGGCCTATTGTGTCCCGGCACGCCATGCTACAGTTCCATGAAAGGTTTTTTGACTGCCATCTAACTCTTTGCATTTTATACCTATTCAGGGGTTAAGTTTACAACTTTTAAAGAAATACTCCAATTTTTAACATGAAACATAAAATTTAAGAATTTAGTTTAGTTTTGAAGATTTTGTTTTTCGTATCCAAAGGATCCTTAAATATCCCTGAATACAGATGTCTGTCGTCGTACAGTACTTGTACACAATAGAACCTACTGTCTCCATTACTCTTTTATATCTGATTTCCGGTTTTTAAAGGGCTTCACGAAATTTGACGTAGTCTGATGTAATTCAAAATTTCATTTTACAACAGTTTTCTTTTCTTAAATTAGACAAAGTTTTGACTCTGTGAAGATATAAACCTGAACGAAGAAAAATCTATCGTTAGTTGGCAAACTAATTAAAACATCGTTCAAGCTTATTCGTTTGCCGAAGTAACATTTTGCACTGTGGAATAAAAAAAAACTTTTTGGTTTTACAACTTTGGTGATACAGTTTTTGTGATACAATTTTGGTGATACAATTTGATGATACAATTTTGGTGATACAATTTTGGTGATACAATTTTGAA